CTAATCTTGGTATGGTCAAAGCTCAGGAAATTGCTAATGGACCTTTTGCTGAATTCAATTTATTGAAAACCAAGAAAGCAGATATTTTTGAAGAGATTAAAGCTTTATCTATTTTAGTGTTAACACCCCCTCCTTTAGATTATAAGAGGCAAGAATATCTTTATCATAATATTTGTCCATTTGTGAAAGATGAATACAAAGATATTACTTGCCCAATACCATTCTATACCAGAAATGAATAATATATTAGAACAAAAACATCTTCATTACTTTATCACACTTGTTAATTTGTCCCCTTACTGTCATTAAGTTTAATAAGTTTAATCTTTTGACAAATATTATTAGTTTTAAAATAAAAAAGTACTAAAATAATTTATATACTTAATACACCCTTATAAAAAGGATATAAGTATATTAAAAGAATATATATAAAAAAGAACAAACATGGTAAACATTATAAACAAACAACAACAAACAAATAAAGCACTAATAAATGAAATAGAATTATTGAAAAAGCAATTAGCTGAAAAAGAAAAAGACTAAGCTAAAAATCTGAAATGCAGTTCACAGTCTTACTGAAAGTTCAGAATATACTGGAACAAGTTTAAGAACCTTAAAAAGATTCACTTGAGTTGACAATGGTGAGTAAGTTATCCAGAAAAGAATGGAATTGAAATTGGAAGAGTTGTTTTTAGCAACAAATTCACTCCTGAAAGTATTGTTAAAAGTTTTGGTAGTGAAGCATTAAATTATGAAGAAGCTTTTGGTTTTACTTACCAAGAAAAAGAATGCTGTTTTAGAAGAAAAAGTTGTTGAATTGAAAGCAAAGCAAAAAGAACTGGAAATAAAAGTGGAAGAGTTGGAAGATGAAGTAGAAATGGAGTGAGAGGAAGCTGAAAAGGCATTAAACACAGCTATGAAGTGGAGAAAATGCCAAATTAATGAAGTGATACTAAAACATGATGCTGCAATGGGCAAACTCTTAGACCGAATAGATTTGTTGGAAAATAATTTGTCAACTAAAATCAGGAAATAAACTGAAGAGATAATTTAGCAAACAAAGAATTACCAGCTTTACCAAAACAACAAAAAGAAAATAGATTCCAAAAGTTTAAACAATTAGTAAGTAAAGCAAAAGAAAAAACTAAAGAGAAATTCCAAGCTTTTATCATTCAGAAAAGTAAGTAGATTAATATGAAATTAGAATATAGAGTTCTGGAAATAGCAAAGGGAGA